ATATGTATGACTGCGTGAAAATTTACATTTTTTCGCTTTCCCCGTCTTCATTACGAACCACAGTTGTCCAAATAACATGCACGAGTATAATATAAAAATATTTTATATTTTTTGCTATACTAATAAATACCTATTTTTTTTTTTTTTTTTTTTTTTTTTAATCAATAAATATCATAATATATATAAAAAGGAACTATGTGACATTTATTTATACCGTATTACCAGGTATTTATATAGAAAAGTCATTATTTTTATAATACAAATTGTAAAGTTTTATATATACTTATAAATACAAACATAGGTACAAACATATATATATATATATAATAATATAGCTCTGAAAAATAATTTTGAATCGCGAGGACGTGATTATTTCACGAACAACATAGYTGAATAAGGTACAGCRCGTTCTTGTTTTTTGGTTTATGCATTTTTGGATTATGTTTTACGTAGAAATAAAAACGTGTGTATATCCAGTTGCATGTTATTGTATAACACAACACCTGCATTTTGGTTTTTTCTTCAATACTACGTGTTCCACTTGGGAAGGCTCGTTTCCATTTATCACAGTTCCTAAGTAGGTAAGAAACAAAAAAAAAAACATAATTATTTTATCAATTAGATAAAAATCATTAGAAAATATTTATATTACTTGTATGTACTATGTTCACTTTAATTACCTATAAGGTTTTTTACCGTAATAAATATACATTTTTTTTTTCATCGTAATCTCAAGTATAGTAGGTATCARCATTTTTTAAGAAGTGGGTATACGACTTGTATATAAATGTACGTATTATCGTAGTTTTGTAAGGTACTTATAATATGCTATAATTTGTTTAGGTGCCAATGCTATTGACTATAAACATGTGGTTAAGCATTTTTAAACAATCAATGCTATAATATTATAAATTTATTAATACTTAATAATAATCATTAGATTTTCATTCACAAGTAGTTTACCTTCCAATACCTATATATTATACTATTCCTATCAAGTGAATAAATTACCGAACAARGATAGTATACGAGTTTCAGATAATTCAGAAATGGTGATTATAGTTTAAGAATAGTAGAATTATATCGATTGCATTATAAATTAAACATCTAAAATAAATTTATGACTACTTAGGTATGATACCTTATACGTTTTGTACTGCCAGATTTAAAATGAATAAATCTATTATAAGTCTAACCGGATAGCTGCCGACCTAGAATTATCAATCTAAAAAAGGTCGCTACATGTCGGGTGTAATTACCTCTTTGGACTTCCACATTGGGTGGTACCGCGTTCTTTTCGTTGCACGTTCCGTTCGCCTTTGTTGGCGTGGACGTCACCGGCTGTTGGTCGTGCTTAACGTCCGAGCTGTGGTCCGGCAACAGCGGCGACGTAGCGCTCGTGGGCGTAGGCGTAATCGGTTTGCCTTCTTTAATCAGTTCGACTATCTGGTCAGCTTCTTTGGACAGGTCACCGTCGGGTCTGAAAGGATTATCCCAACCGTCCGAACTGAAACACGCGTAAAATAAAATTCAAATATACATGCGTTGAGGTACGACAGTTATATAATGGAATATAGAAACGGTGAGAATATATTTTGATATCACTCTATAATAATATTACGTAGGTCTAGCGAGTTTAAATAAGAGAGAACGCGTCGAGTCGATCACAGGCTGCAGGAATTCCATCAGTGACACTTGCTAGCCGGTGCATTATAAAATAAGGTGCACAACATGCAGGAAGCAGAGGGAACCTGCATCAGGTTCACGGACCATTACCGGCTCACTGAACCATGGTGATGGTTGTCCATGAAAAATCTCATATACGATGATGGCTAACAATGATGATCATCGACACTATATAATATACGAGTACGGCTAGTTTAGTATAATTATTATCAAAACATTCATTTCAAAAATGCATTTTACCATTATAMAACCGAAGAGCGAAGAGAAAATTGGATATTGTTGTTGGACAAAAAAYACGATTCGTGATGGAGTAATATGCAATATGCATTATGAAAGGACATTAAACTGCAGATATTGTAATATGATATCATCGATATCGCAATCTCAAGAGCCTACTACAACTTGCAGATGGTATTTTTGAAAGTAAATTAWTATTTTCACACGAAAGAACGCRAAAACAACAAAATAAAAACATAAAATACATAGYTATTTCATAGAATTACAATTAATAAATTATTATCTTATCTTAATTCACTCAATTGGTTAGTACTTAATATACTTCTGGTATGCATAATTTCAACAAGAACACTTAAACGTTTTAAACACATGTCCACAWAAAAATATTTTACCATAATAAAATAAACGTAGGTATTACATTGTTATTTGTTACATAGGTACCCWTTACCTATATCTAATCTAGCTAATAACTATTCGGATGTCGTACCTACGTTAAGAATCAGTAAGAGCCAACACTTTTAATATTTAAGAGTTCGTGATATTGGTATTTCGTTAATAATTATGTAAATATTAAATTTATAATCGAAATTAGAAATAWAATTAATGAATACTAAGATGAAAATAAAACGGTATAGTTAAATCATGAAACAGAATTTTATATAAATTAAAAYGACTGTTATGAAATTTTCTCAATGATTTGGAACGCAACAAAATGTCATGCTATTGTTAAGTCACAAAATATTAGTACAACCAAAGTCTGCCAGCCGTAATTTACCCATCAGCCTATATACTCGTAAAACTTTGGGATAATTTTGTCGGCTTGAAGGCTGACCTTTAAAAAGGTGTGGTCGTCATTTGGCATTCAAAATAATGTACAGCGATTTTGGACAGCAAAAGGTCTCGCCCACGTCTAATTGTCATCAATCATCGTGTAAAACACTCGAAATAAGAAAAAATAAATTTATCACTGTTAAACTGACACAGAGAGAATATAATAATTGGTGCATGGTGTGATATCAAAAAGTTATATTGTATAAGTAGTCAACAAAGTATTGACTTCCAAAATCAGGCATATGAAAACGGCTATAGCCACAGGCTAAAAGCTTTCAAAATATAAACTGAAATGAACACATATACGATTGGACGTTTTCCAAAACCTCAAATAAATCGATTAACAAAAAATTCATGAAAAATTTAAAGGCTGATTTGCTATCCATATTAGTTTAACTTGTGCGCATATGGCCATCAAATGTTAGTTTTACTTTGTTCGCACGATAACTCTAAAACTATATTTAATTTATCTAGACACCCCAAGTATCGAACAGAATAACATACGAGTAGCAGCATAATGTTATAAACTACAGTCACACACAAACGAACATCACATTCGTATATAATAACAAACCATTATAATATTATATACGATAGTTTTAGATAGTAATAATAATAATAATAATAATAATAATAATA